TTTATTTTACAAATGACTAAGTGCTAATTCTCTCATCGGCTCACCCAAACTTACCGGCAAGCAAGGAAGCATATGGATCTACAAAACCATCATTACTTCCTCGCCGTTCCAGTCCGAAGTCTTGGAATAGATGATCGACAGAATCTGCTGCAAGTAGGTTCAGCCTTGGTTGGATTTGTTCAGATGGATGGGGCCGCGAAAGACGGATCAGCTGCCGTCGCGATTTTGGCACCTGTGGAAGTTAAAATTATAAGCTACTTAAAAAACGAAGAGGAAATTTGTTCTGAATACGAAACAGTGTGAATACAAGGGCATTAAATTCGAATTCTTAGATATACAAGTGCGATGATTACCTATGAGTACCAAAGGTATTTTTCGAATTATTTGTAAGACTAATCAGTGGCATGTAAAACTTGGTTTTGCCAAAATTATAAACGACTAGATCTAATCCTATCTTATAAATGGATTTACAATACTATTTCATACGAAATCGTGTAGAGATTCTAGCTGGAATGTTTATTGGTTTAGTGTCCTAGAAAATTTTCGTTAATGACAGGCTCTAGCGCTGACAACGCCTATCATATAGCAAATTAAAACCCATCATCGGGATTCATCGGGATTTCGGAGTCTTAAAGTCACTATGAAAACTCAATAGAGTTGCAAAGTTAACTTAATTTTGTGAATAAATTATTTGACCTTGCTTTCACAACTTGGTAATGCAACTGGTTCGGAGTCCGTAGATGAAATTAGATGAGAATTGAGGAGATCAGACTAGATTTGATAAGATGTGCTTGATGAGATGCATGATAATTTCTAGAGTCTGACTGTGAACTTGGTACATTCCAAGACGTTTAGCCGGCATCCTAGTCGACTTGGCCAATGAGTCTTGTCATTCTTAGCCCCACACTACAACTCTCCAAAGAGACAAATGAAGTCGATCCTCTGACCAATTGTCTGCAGAACAGTTTTGATAACTCGTTTTTTGCCCTGGTGCCAGCGAAACGCCTGGGAATGTACCAAGTTCACAGTCCGATACTGGAAAGCATCATGCATACTATGGATTCTGGTCAAGTTGCGTTACTCTAGGTCTTCCTGCCAATATGACCAAGTTGCGAAAACAAGGCTAAATAACTTCAATGGAAACTTCAGCTCAACTCATATCATTGTGGGAAAATTCTACTACCAGTCCTTCATCATCTTAGACGAAATAGGGTGAATACATCTCATATTACTGATTTACTGGTGGTCTCGAAACTCTACTCTAATACGAAAATAAGTAACGGAGTCGATTGCTATAGCAAATATACGTTTGCTTTATCGGCACTCCCACCAAAGAATATGATATAGCAAAGA